GCTATAATTCTCATCATCCCAATTGCATCCCTGGTTCCTTTTCCTCTTCTAAATCCAAACTGATCATCTCCAAGTACATCCTCTATTTTCCTTTCAATTCTTCTTTTAAGTATCTTTGCTGTATGTGCAATAAGGCTTATTGTGTGATGGTCGCTGCATTTTGTAGCTTTTGTCTTTTTCTTTAAGGCAATCATTGTCACTTCTGTAAAGTCCTTGGGCCACTCCCCAGTTTAATATATGGTGTTTATTAGTTTTGTCTATCAGCCATACAGAATATAAATTTTTATTTCATTTTTTAGTTTACAAATCATCTGAAAATGGATCATAATTTGAACACTTGGGAACGATAACAATAACCATAACAAAACAAACAAAAAATAAGATTTGAGGCTTTCATGGTAGTGACTATGAAGAAAGCAGTCTTTTGGGATTTGGCACCGTGTATATGTGGTGTTAACTGACGTTCCTCCGAAACGTCGGTTAACACCACATATACACGGATCAAATCCCAGAAGACTGTTTCCTTCAAAATATGATATTTTCGTCTCAGTAAAATAATCAAACCTAAGTTCGAGTCTTTAACTTTAGAGGAAATTGGTTATGAANCGCGCAGATATGCATCCAGAAACACACAGAGACACATAGACAACCATACGCACACTTGTGTGTGGCCCCCCCCCCACACACACAAACACACAGATATATAGTATATGTGGGTACCAATACTGCCACACATATATACACAAGCACATGGACACAGACACACATACATGCAGACAGACAAAACAACACTTACACTGATGTAAACCATACAAAAACAATCCCGCAGACATACACACACACAAAAAACACACAGACACAAAAAACACACAGACACAAGCACAAGAACATAGATATGCACACAAACAGATATAAATGCTCAGACACACAAGGTCTTTTGAAACTTTTGAAAATGGTAGATTTTCACCAAATTTGGCAGGATTGTGATACTACAGGATGTCATCTGAAAGTAAAATATACTCTTCTCAGTCTCTTCAATGCTGTTTTTTTGTAAACTCTTTGGATGACCTATTGCTAATGCTAATGCTGTTCAATAAAAGATATTTGTGAAAAATGTAGGTTTTCACCCTTTAGCTTGGTGGCATTATGACCTCATTTACAGTCTCACAGCCTGATGTTGGGTCATTTTCTGAAGACCACTGAAAATAAGATACTTCTAGGTGATGACAAATTCCATATGTTTCATACGATTCAAAAGAGTTTTGATTACATACAAGTGGATATCTCTATATACCTGTATAAATATCGCATAATTGGAATCAAATATGTTTGCATTATTTATATTAAGAAAGATTTAATATGAACAAATAAACAGAAAACTTGCAATTCTCATACCTTCACCATGTCCAGCACAACATAAAGCTTGCCTAGTGATCCCACTACCCCATTCCTCTCTGCAGAAAGTTGGAGAAGTTCCAGGGTTGTCACTGGGTGGCCATACAATGCCAAGTCAACAACTTTTTCTCCCAGTGTAACTTCTGAACCCACTGATACGAGCAATGACTGAAAAAATAGAAAACAAAACAATTCAGAATTTAACCTTTAACAGCCGAATATTATATATATACGTAGGTCGTACCGAAAGTCATGAGCAACTTTTTTTTGCATGCAACCTGGGAGGTGGTAGGTGGAACCAGCTGTTGTGTTAACCTTGAGTGTCTTGTGACATCAATAGCTTGCATCACGTGACCAGTATCACTCCTAACAAAATGGTCGACAACGATATGTCGTTTCGCCAGTGTGCTGTCATCGAGCTTCTTGTGAAAGAAGAAATCCCTGCTGCAGAAATTCACCAGAGACTTCAGCGTGCTTATGGAAGTGCGTGCATGGGTGCGAGCAGTGTTTGAAGATGGGAGAAACATTTTAAAGATGGGAACACCAGCATCAAAGATGAGTCTCGGAGCGGTCGTCCTCAAACAGCCTCAACTGAATGCAACAAGGAAAGAGTGGATGAGATCATTCAAGATGACAGGCATGTGACTGTGGACTCAATAGCCCGAAAACTTGGAATAGGGCACAGTGCAGTACAGGAGATGATTGAAAGCTTGGGCTATATGAAAGTTTGTGCTCGTTGGGTCCCACGGTTATTGACCGAAGACCACAAAGGTCACCGAAAAGCCATCACCTCAGAACTACTGCAGAGATATCGACAAGAAGGCGATGATTTTTTGCTCTGTACTGTGACAGGTGACAAAAGCTGGTTTCACCATTTCAAGCCTGAAACGAAACGGCAGAGTATAGAATAGCACATTTGCATTCTCCATCAAAAAAGAAGGCAAAGACATTGCCATCAGGTGCGAAGGTGATGGGTACAGTCTTCTGGGATGCAGAGGGGTTTATTCTGGCTGAATTCCTGGAACCTGGGCAAACTATCAATGCTGCTCGTCATGTCCAGATGCTGCACAAGCTCCGTCATGCATTTCGCGATAAATGTCCAGGACGAAACATCATCATCCTGCATGACAACGCTCGCCCCCCACGCCACTCACCTCACATTGGAAGCAATTGCAAATATGGGGTGGGAAGTTCTTCCACAGCCTTCCTATAGACCTGATCTGGCACCCTCCGACCATCATCTTTTCGGATTTGTGAAGGATCAGCTGCGTGGACAACATTTTGAGACAAGGGAAGCAATTCAGAAAGCAGTGTGTTTGTGTCTTCAGATGGCTGGAACGGAACTTCACAGAAGGGGAATTTTCAAACTCCCAGAACGCTGGGAGAAATGTGTACAAAGAAGTGGCGATTGTGTGGAAAAATAAAGAAAGGTCTGTAGACTGAGGTGGTGTATTTGGTTTGTCAATAATAAAGCATGTTACTTTACAAAAAACTGTTGCTCATGACTTTCAGTACGACCCTCGTATATGCAGCAAGCAGCAACCTGAGTTGGCCGAATGTTATATATAATATGCAGCAGGACACGTGCTCTCTTTGGGAGTGCTGACAGTTTGACCTTGGGTATGAAAGCAAAACAAATGCTCGTAACGTCATGTCAGTGTTCATTCCTTAGCTCTGAACAATGAAATCGTTTATCACAGTACTGGTTTTGATGCTATTTACGTTTAGATATGACTGTTTATGACCTGGTCAGCCAAATATAGACCAGCTTTGTTTCGAGAACTGATGAGGAAATATTCATCTATGCTTGCATATGAGTGCTTCCAGAGCCTTCAAGGAAGTGTGACACATTCAAGGATTGGTTTTCAGTGATGAATTAGGAAGTCAGCGTCGGATTGTCTAATATTTCTTTATCAGTTAAAAAGTCAGTGTCAGACTGCCACATATATCTTTGTACATCGTTTTTATTTTGTGTCTGGGAAGAGGTATAAACCCACTGAGCCAGTATTACTTTGTGAGTAACAGGCATCTTCGCCACTGCAACTTTCGGTATCAGTGTCGGACTGGCACTCTTTTCGACTAGTATTATAATTACTTTGCATCACTATTTTGCAGGTATTACTAATAGGTGAGACTGTCGCTTTGTCAATCAACATAATTTATTCGATTTTCCTAGAATCCCCCTCCTCCAAGATGATTCTTCAATCACACAAAGCAAATATCACTGTCAGTGCCGTTTCTCGGGGGAGGCCAAAGTTATCAGGGGGCCCAACTGAGTCAACTGGAGGTGAAACATTCACAACACTGGCCAACCAAAGGGAAACAAAGACGTCGTGTGTTTTGCTAAATAAGAAAAGCAGGAGCATGCTCTTCTATTGTAAAAAGTGCAATGCCACTTTGTGTGAGGTGGACTGGGCATCAGAGTGTATCGTAAACTGCGAAGTGATGCAGTTCAAACTCGTGTACAATCTGAACAAAATATAATTGTATATAGTGTGATTATATTTACAATATCACCATGATTCAAGGTTGAAGAAAAAACAATGGGTAACTCCTTTGGAATTTCATAACCTATATAATAAAGATTATATTTTGCAATTCATGAGAAAATAATCACAGTTAATTTTCGTTTGTAAAAATTACTATTTGGTGTATATGCAGAAAATTTTATTGTCTTTCAGGCTGTTTTTCGTTTGTATTTCTATGTTGCATAGAACAGAAAGTGTGTATTTTTTTTTTCTGAAAGTTTGCAATGTTAATTAATTAGGGCGAATTAAATACCGGCCGCAGAGGGCCATACGTTAAAGGTTAAGGGACTATACTGTATTTAGGTTTTTGCTATTTAATGATGTGCAATTAGTTACTGAAACCTTTAAAATAGCAATCTTATTTAAATTTATAAGGCACTCGATTTTCATCAGAATATATTCATGAGTTAATTTTCTAATTCTATTTGTTGCATAACCATGAAATGTTCCTGCTAGTAATGTGTAATTGTTCTGATACACCAGTCTTCTTGTGCCAGTTGGATCACATGCACAGCTGTGTCTAGACCTTTTGTCTAATCTGACATTTGGGCTACAGATCTTATTCTTTCCACCCTTATACCAATATCTCCCTTGCCAGGACCAGCAGCTGTTCCTCTGTGCTCACCGATTGCAGATACATGGTATCAGGTGGTCAAATTGAAAACTCTGTCCAATTTTATTCCAAAATTATTTGTATTCTTCAGTGCCTCCTGATCAAGCAGCCAAGTCCACACATCATTTGTTGATGTAAGTTGTTTTGATACTCTCTGAATTGAGGAAAGGTTATCTCAGTATATGCAGACAATGTATAGACTGTACTATAGTTGTTCATTTTCTCTGGGTTACATTATGTTTAGGATTTTGTTATGCATTCACTGGCCAAAGTCATCTTTTTGCTCAGAGATAAGTCTTACTTATATTTTGTTCTTCATTTAATTAAATATTTATTTTCTCTTCATTATTTATTGACAGTCTTCCATTTATAATTTGATTTGCACTCCCCCCTGAATAAGTGCCCTTCTCCCTTTTCGTCCAAGGCACCTAGTGCCCCCTGAATAAGTGCCCTTCTCCCTTTTGGTCCAAGGCACCTAGTGCCCCCTGAATAAGTGCCCTTCTCCCTTTTGGTCCAAGGCACCTAGTGCCCCCTGAATAAGTGCCCTTCTCCCTTTTGGTCCAAGGCACCTAGTGCTATCTATTGAAAAAATCCAAAAAAGGAGGAGGCAGTGCATGCTTATCTTGTTCATAACCTCAGTCATATTATCAGTTCTCTTCTTATCAGCAATTCAGCTAATATTTATGGGTGATATATTTTATGTTGGTGGGCTGTCAACCCTTTCGAGTAACCACCAAAATTGAGAAACAAGAATCTGGTATCAAAGATTTAATTCCCTAGAGGGATATTCTTCACATGGGTACAATTCATTTCAACGTTCCAGTAGCATAATGGGAAGTAGGATCCATCGCAGATGTGAAACATGGCCACACGACCAGTAGAAATTCAAACTCAGTGCTGGAATTAACTATAAGTATGCTTAAAATGATATCATAGAGAATAATGGTGACTGTAGTTACTCTGAAACTTTATTTTAGTAAAATCCAAAAATACTTATTCCATGGAAGAAAGAACGAAACCTAATTCAGCCATAAAAATTTGCATACTGTGGATGAGCTCCCACACCATGTTGCATTCACCCTTCTTCATCAAAGATTTCTAATTATCTTGCATGTTTGTAAAGAGCCAAAAGAAACTAATTTGATTGAAAAAATATTACTCTCCAAACCCATAACCTATCCATGATTATAAGTAAATCACTGCTTGTATGGTACTGACACTGCAACGTATAACATGATGTGCATGTCATTCAGGTATGTTACAGACCACAAGTTAAGTTTATGGTCAACATACAGCTATGTTTTGAAGCAAGCTTCTTTAATATTATCAATATATGGCTCTTACATGAAGAAATGGAAGTATACAACTTATTGCAGAAATATCACTCCTTCTGTATGGTACAAACTGAAGCCTGTATCCTTAGTAGTTTTATTCATACTTCACAATTAAATTGATGTTTACTCTGTTGTCTATATAGCGGCACCATACACAACACTACAACAATGAGGGATCCCTTAACTTGTATAAAATAAATACTTAACACCCAAAACTCTACAATCACAAATATAAAACTACCTATGCAGGACACATGCAAAAATACAAGATGCAATCCATGCACACACATTTCATTGGTCCTTCTCAGTGGGCATGTATTATTATAAAATATGACTGCATTTACATATATACAAATATATAGACATTATATTTCAAAGTTATGTGAAACATGAACTTACATTAAAAACGTTGAACATGGCGTGATAACTGGCAGTAATAACATTCGCAGAATAATAATATCCCGGTCTATCTGGGAACTGGTGTCGCACTGAAAGGTCTGCTGCACGACGTGTTACTGACTGAGTTAATGGAGTCATAAGGCCTGGAAAAACCTCCCTGGAAAATAATGAAAGCAAGATATTATAAGGTTAAATTTCAATGACAAATGTCAAATTTAACAAAATTATCCCTTTAACTAAAAAGCACTGACTTTTATAAGCTGAATTTATTTGGTGTTTAATCCGTTCAGGATCAACTACAAATACAATGGTGAAACCAGAATTTGTTTCATTCCTTCATATACCACTGCTGAACACATTCATGTTACATGTTTCTCAATGTCTGAATTCTGTGCCTGTTCAAACAATGTAAGTTGAAGAGGTTGTAAGCCATGTTCCCGAGAAAAATAGAGAAAATAATAAAAAACATAATAAACCTGACACAAAAATGTGATCTGGAGGTTATGTTAGTGCTTGTAAAAAGCTGAGGTTAGAAGAAAGACTCACTTAAAAACATATCCTATCTCTGGTTTTTCAACAACAGACATTCTACATTTCCATGAAATTATTAAAACAGAAGAAGGTATCTTTTGCTAAAAAGAAAATGTTAAGTCAAAATATTTACGCCTTGTAATTTTACCTTAAATCAATGGTTTCAAGGACATTCAAAGAGAAGATGTTCTGAGGAAAACGCATAACTGCTACTTGCCATCAAATATTCAATTTTAAATAATCTGGCTAGCAGGAATTACAGATGAATTATTGAAAAATGAATTATTTACAGACAGAATGCCACTAGTACAGCTTCCCATTATGTGTGTTCAAGAGTTATATTCTCAACTTTCACACAGACACCATGACATAAGCCTTGAAATGTCATTTAGAGATTTTCATAATTTATATATTTGTATAATTTTGCATATTTTTTAAAGATCTCCTGCAGCAGAAATTGTCAGGACCATATATTAACCTTTAAGTGACGGCCCTTTAAATTCCGGTAACGGCAGCGGGACGGATTTGATTTAAATACCCGCAATATTAAAGCAATAAAAACTGTAATCATTTCCTAAAATTGCTGTGATTTCTACAATTTTTGTGATAAACGAACCAAATAAACGCTGTTTTTTTCTAGAAAGAATATAGAATCAGATATTGTAATTTAGAGACTTTATAAAATGTGTAAAAATTTTTAGACTGATTCCAAGTATAAAATTGCCAAATTTGTCGTCAGCCTACAAGAATTCATATAGTTCTTGGAAGCAAGAACGCTCTATGCAGATGTGGCAACATAGGCAACACAGTGGATTGTTATGAAGATGATTATGTTTAGTCTCGCATGTCTCGAAGCATATACACGTACCTTCTTTGGTATGCAGAGATGTGGGCCTGTATATCTCCGTTTATAAGAACGCTGATTGTTTATACACAACAATTTCTCTGTACTGACCAGGCTCGGTTAGTTTATCACAACTCTCAAAGCCAAGCAGTGTCATAGAGCTTCAAAGTTTCGCAGCGAGAACAGTGATATTGTCAGCTCACCATGGCGTCGTTTCGTTTGGAAGATTCAGACATTTTTCAACTCATAAATGACTCCAAATCAGATTGTTTTACCGACAATTCTGAGAGTGGCGTTGGGGAAAGTGATTCAGAAATGGATTTCGACGAAGACCCATCATCTTGGTCGGCAACCTGGGGACCACCACACCAGCATGGCAAGAGGAGTGTGAATAATTATTCAGGTGGAGCTGTGGGCAAACTGTGGCAAACAGTTATAGCATCTGTCATCGAACCTGGAAATGGACAAATAAACTATTTTTCCATCTCCTGGATCTGAACAGTTACATCCTGTTGTCACACAGAGAATTTCGTCTCGCTCTTGTGCGGAACATGCTGGAAGGGGTCCACCTCGCCATCAATGGCCCAGGGGTTGAACCCCTGCCGTTTTATCGGAGATATCTCGATTATAGGAGGCCAAACCACATCACTGGCTGACTTCCTCTACTTCGCAATTGAGGTGTTGTGCGTGCTTTTCGCGTGGGAAATGAAGAACCGTCTAGACAAAGTGCGTGAAGTGCGATGTCGCACCCTGGAATTCCGGATGTTTCCAAGATTTCCACACGAAGCCAACTTCCGTTAGACGACGCAGGTGGGAAGAGACACAACTTATAAAGCTGGTGACCAAAAATCATGTAAGTAGAAAAAGAATTTATAACTTAAAATTAGATTTTAAAAAGCCGGCCGCACGCGTGGACTGCGCGACGATATATGGCGTCATTCGTCCCCTTGACTTTATTTTCATGACGCCATATGGTGTCGCTCGGCTCTTAAAGGTTAAATGACACTAGTGACTGTTATGATACTATAAGCCTACCATTCCTCTAGACCAGGACATCACTTATTCTGAATGGGTTTCTTTGTGGTTTTCCTCAGTCTGTCCAGGAAAATACCAAGATAATACCTTGAAATAGTTCACAGTCACTTCCTTCTATGTTCTTTTCAACTTAATCATTAATCTGCCTCCTTTTCAACTCCATACAGCCATGGTTACTGACAGAATTGTTAAATAAACCATAAATAAATAAAATCAACCTTCTGAGTCTCCTGTGCTCTGTTCACTTGGCAAAAGAGAAGGAATCTGCTTCTGAGATAGGAGTGCCCATGGCAGAGTGGTGCAAGGGGGGAAAGGGTGAACACAGACACAAGACAAGTGCTTATGGGAGAACAAAACTTCTCTGACATTGGAGAAGCACCACTATGGAAACATCAAACACTGAGACAACTCTTTTACTACTGATTCTGAACTTCTTCAAGCTATGTGCTTCCAGCATTAAATAAACAACTGGAACTCTTACCATCTAATACAAGCATCATCTTGTGTTTCAGAGTTTTATCATCAAGCAACCAGTAACACATGCTCATGAAATCTGTATTTAATATTTTATCAATTGAATGATTGACTCTTGGGTTATTTGGCAATACTGTTTCAACTGCAGAGGTTCTAAAACATCATACGAGATGGGAAGATGATCATGAACAGCGATGTGGCAAGGGTTTGGGCACTGGAGACACCGAGAAAGTCATGAAAACATAAGCAACGATAACTAGTAACCTGTGTCAGATCTGAACAGTGTTCCTCACTAATACAACTCTGGAGCCTGAGTGGTAAACCAATTTGTTCAGATTGCACTTTGAATGTATAGAACTTACACTTTATCCACCAAGGCAGTGAAGGACTGCCATCAGATGACATTAAACACGTTTATATATGATAATTTCTTAATACCCTGTATTTGCTGTTGTTAGGAATTCTGTGTCAGTGATGATGGGATCATCAAACTCATGAAGAAGCTCAAACTTTGACCACGAATCAAATGATGTGATTGGCCGAGATTGTAGCAAGTAGATTTGACCCTAAAACCAAAATAAAAATACAGACATTTTATGGTATAAATCTTCAAAGTATGATGTTATAATAAATTATTAGAGTCAAGGAAGTTTTAAGGTATGGTAGCTGACACAAAACAATTTTTTAATTCTCACTCTTGAGGGTTCTGTGTTCCAATTTTCATTTCATGCATCCTGTTGTGTTATAATATACAATTCTTTATTGGAGACTGTCACAACACAACTATATTAAGGTCAGTGCCTAGTTTGGCTCTGCTACATGTTTCAGCTAATAATCTACATCACGAGCCTCCAAAACAATTTATTATATATACATAAAATATAGAATATAATCTAATTTATTGAATTTTTATGCCAAGTATTTTAATGTAATTAATATTATTGTATCCAATTTTACTAGTCCTGCAGTTCAGTGGTGTATATATGTTAGCCATGTATTTGCCTGATGATGGTTATTAATAGTCGAAACATGTAGCAGAGCCAAACTAGGCACTGACCTTAATATAGTCATGTTGTGATGGTTTTAATAAAGCAATTCTGTGTTACATTTGCAAAAGTAGCCACCTGGCTGTGTATCATATGAGTCTTGTGGGTAAGAAGGTTTCTTGTTTGGCAAACTCGTACATAGTTAAAGATGGAAAGGCAACCAAACAGAATTAAGATAGGTAGCCAAACATAGCATGAAATTATAATCTTACCAGAAAAAAGGAGATAAGGAAGTATCTAATGAGATGAACGAAAAGTAGATGGCAGTAAATTTTTTAAGTGAAGGTCTTTTATTACAGCCCTGGCATTTGATCATTATAAGTTGAATTTTGAAACGTGAATGACTACTCTTCATATTGAGATGCTCTTGCTTCATAATCAGGTGGACCTGCATTCAATTCTTGGTTCAGAGACCATTTACCTTCAGTGACTTTCTTTGTATTTTTCTCAATCCATGGAATCAAATGCCAGTTCATGTGATTTACTATAAGTCACTCACTTTATGTTAATTGGGTTTTATTTATAATTTAAATTTACATTCTTCAATGATATAACGATATGTGAATAATGATTTGGAAAGGAAGTGCTTGTGATTTAATTTGAGGTACAATTTTGGCATCTGCTGACTGAAGAAAGTCACAATTAGTCTGTGCCCCAAAATTCGAACTCAGGACCTCCCACATACAAATCAGGAGTGCTACCTGCTTGATCATACTGTTTCTCCCTCTCATTAGATAATCTCTTCAGTTGAGAGAGAGTCATTATATGAATTAGAAAAGCAACATGCACACTGAAGCCTTCCTTTATTGTATGTGGTGTTTTCTATGTCACAAACACAAACTTGCATACCATGTTCTAACTCATAAAATACTGCAAAGTTTATTACATCATCAAATTAGTTAATTAAAATAGTTAATTATCATGTTTACTGTAAGACAAATATTTTTTTCAAGTATAACATTACAATTGTGGCAAATTAAACAAGACTGTAAAGGTGCAATCCATATCAGAGTGCACATAATTTCCATAGTGTTCTTTGCATCCTTGCATTTGCGGTAATCCAAAGGCTGTTTTTTGTTATTCCCCCCTTGGCACTAGAGCCCCAGTGGGCCTAGGCCTACCTCCATGAACTTCTCCGTTCACTTTGGTTTTTCTAGATCTTACACATTCGGTAGGACTCCTTGGGCGGGTGATCAGCTTGCCGCAAGGCCTCCACTGTATACAAACACAGAAAAATGCACACACACAAACTAAACATCCATACCCTGAATGGGATTCGAACCCACGATCTCGGTTTCCAAGCAAGCGAAGACAGTACATGCCTTACACCGCTTGGCTACGGTGACCAGCTCCAAAGGCTGTTACTTTGGTTATTTTCATGAAGATGGCTGCTTATTACTGTTTTTATGATTGCTGTGCTTCCCTGTGATACCATGACTACTACAGTGCATTTTGATAGCAGCACTAGTGTAGCTCATACTTCACAACTTTGTACACACAAAAGAGTTATTACCAACTGTAGGAAATTCATAAATTTGAGTTTTGGATGGATTTATACTGAATTTCATCAATACCCATTTAGGAGTTCTTGACTTCAAACTGTGAATGGACAGATGGGGAGATAGTTATGGCCTCCCTATATGCATTCCATTTATGCACACTGTGCAAATAATGTATAAAAAAAAAAGGGATTGAATGTCATCCTGAAGAATATAAATTAAACAATCACATTAAGGCCGCGCCATACCTCAAGTGGTTAGTCGCTGGTTTCCCATTGCGGCGGCCCGGGTTCAATCCCGGGTCTGGCCAAGTGGGATTTGTGGTGGACAAAGTGGCACTGGGGCAGGTTTTCTCCAAGTACTTCAGTTTCCTCTGCCAACTTTCATTTCACCAATTGCTCCACAATCACCCTCACCTATCATCTGGGGCTGGTACAATAGACCAGAAGTGGCTGCAGTGCAAGGGACTTAGTCCCACCCCACTAACAATAAAAAAATACACTCACATTTGAAATTGCCCATTCTATATCCCTGGGGCCTCCGAACATCTGCTCCAGTTGCAACCCCAGGCGACCCACTCTCAAAGCTTCTTCCTCTGTAAGGCAGAGCTGAGAGCCCTTTTCATTCTGCAGAGGTTCTGCCATGAGGCCACCTTTTGCTATAGGAAGGAAATTATTATAAGCAAATATAAACTACAATAATTCTCTTACAAATACTGTCAAGATGAGAGTACAAGTGCAAATCCAGTGTATGGGAAATCTACTAGTTACTTCCACAGTCAAAGTTTTCTTGCACACTTTCACCCACACACAGTGTTAGTCCTTGCAGAATTCAAACCAATTTCACTTTCTGTTTCATTTTAAATTTGAAGACCAGAGAACTGTTCTATAATCACAATGACAGGGTGTTGTATTTTAGCATCCTGTGGCACTGATTTTCACCCATGATATATATACAGTGTCCATCTTGCAGTGCATCCACTTTTACCTGTCACTTCACAACATGTTTCGGCACCATAGTGCCATCATCAGGTGCTCCATTTACACTAATCTATTGCATTGCATGCCATTATGTCAATGTAAAATTATTTAAAAAGTATTACATTACAACACCCCCAGCCAAAAAGGGAACATGCATCACGAGACACGATACACACGGCATATAAGAGGAATGACTCCCATAGTGGTGGAACAGTGCACGGGTTTTGAATTGGAACAGATAAGATGAATATCTTAACAAGATTTTAGTATACAAAAAATTTATTATAGCTGGCGAATATTTTAAAATACTTTTTAAATAATTTTACATTGACATAATGGCATGCAATGCAATAGATTAGTGTAAATGGAGCACCTGATGATGGCACTATGGTGCCGAAACATGTTGTGAAGTGACAGGTAAAAGTGGATGCACTGCAAGACGGACAATGTATATATATCATGGACAATGACAGCGAATGATGGCACACTGTAGTGCCCTTACTGCACAGAAGCAGAGGGCATTGTCATGTGTCAGGAAGTGTGAGCAATGTTTCAACCATCCAACAGGAAAGTGTTTTGCTGCTGTGGTGCTGACAATTTTGGGGGAAAATTAAAGTCAAGGTTGACCCTGAACCATCCCAGTAGATGTGACTGCCTTACACAGTCCTGTGAGCGTGATCAACTATTTTTAATAGATATAATTCAGTATATGCCCCTCCACTGTTTCACCTGAGGATGGAAACAGATTTGTTCTCTGAAAAATTGCATTCTGTTCAGAATAATATGCAATGGACAACTTCCACAAAATCCTGCAAGGAAATATCATGTTCCCCATAAATGGAATGAGGATGGCTGCAATAGAAAAGTTTAAATTACAAGTATAAACAATAAGTTATGGAATGTGACACAGCCCAATTAAAAAAGTGGGGAACAGAATCTTATTACTACATGCAGATAAAACGGGGTAAGAACGTGATGCTTGGAAACAGTGGTGATCATAAAAGTGAAGAACCTGGTATACATAGTGTGTCCAGGTTCTATTAGGATTGCATTCATTAAAAATACAGGACGTGAATTATTTTCAAAATTTCACTCTTTTTATTCAAAATATTCTCCTTCTGAATCAATACATAGCTGGAATCGATTGAAAAGTTTTCGAAAACAGTCACTGTACTCCTTTTGTGGAATCGCATTTAAAACTGCGGTAGATTCCCTTTGGATGTTCTGGATGGTGTCATGATGGTCTCCTTTCATCGCCAACTTAACTTTTCGAAACAACCAGAAATCTTTTGGAGCCAAATCTGGTAAATACGGAACATGGTCAAGGACTGTGATCCCTTTTCTGGCCAAGAAATCGCGCATGATCTTCAATTTGTGGGGTGGTGCACTGTCGTGGAGGAGCGATCAGGAACCTTGCTCTCGATATTCAGGTCAAATTCGAAGAATTCTCACCCACAAACGAATGAGGACAACAAGATAATAATAAGAATTCACTGTTTGACCTTCTGGCAGAGATTCCTTGTGAATGATTCCTCTGGAATCAAAGAAAACGGTTAGCAGTGTCTGTCTTTACTCGACTCTTTTGCATGCACACTTTCTTTGATTTCGGCTGGCTTCTTTGGGCTCAACCACACTGCACTCTGCCACTTTGTGAGAGGCTCATATTGAAAACACCATGTCTCATCACCAGCAACAATCAATTTTGTAACTTTGTATCACTCTTCGAAATTATAGACAGCCACAGCTGAAACTTCAAGAATCTTAATTCCACAACTTACCAACAGATGGCACTGCAGGGCAAAATTTAAAAAATTGAATCCTAACGGATCCTGGACACACTGTGTATCAACATGAAATTGAATGCTAGGGAAAGGAAACACCAATTATCAAAATATTAGTTCAGAACATGTTTACTTTCTCAGTAAGGCACAGAAGGACAACTGGAGATAAGATGGTCTGTTATGACTTCAAACAATTGATTATGTCACTTCATTCATTATTCATTATTAGAGGGGGTGGGTTTCCCCATGCACCGCGACTAGTAGTCTATTGTACGTCCCCCTTTAATTTCTACTGTCGCCATACCCTACCGGTACTGGTGCTTGCTATCTGCCCCTTTCAGCCAGCGAGGTCGGCCCCCTTTCTGGCAGTGGTACCTGATTATGTCACTTAATTTTCCTGTTTCAGCTACAGGAATTATACAATATGCAATGATATGAGAAGATCTTCTCTATGAGGCTTTAGAGAAAGGTGTCCATGACCTAGTTCTACGCATTCACTTATATCAACTGAGAAAAACTATAAAAAACTTCAATGAGGGTAAGATCATAAAATCCGAATTTTTAAGACACTAAGAATTGGGATTGTGATCTCCTGGGTTGCGACACAGCACAGTTTCTTAAGGAGTTACAAACACTTCAGATAAACCTGCTGTCCCTGCATATGACGCGAGCTATTCCTCCAAAATGCTGGTAACCACTTGTGAAATTACTTAGTGTCACACTATGAAAGACTAAAGGTAGTTGATAACCAAGGCATTATTTCAACTGGACGCCTCCCAGCTACATGTCTGAAAGATTACTGCTTCATCACCCTGCTTGGCGACACTATGTGCCTTAAGTGATATTTGAGAAATGTGAATCCTATTACAGAAACAAAATTAAAGGAATATTAAATAATAAAAGTTCATATAGTAAGAAAATCAAAACTGTAGTACATCATTCATCTCAATAATATCAGATGCATTCTTTAGGTACTGTATCCTGTAAAAACATTTCAATTCTCCACAATCAGCCACTTACCACTTTTCCTAGTAGCAAGTTAAATTATGTTGGTCTCCATAATGAAAATAAGTGTGGCATAATGATTCAACTCAATAACAGTGCTGGTTGTATACAGTTGAAGTTCTAGAATGTATTTATGGGGCATCTGCTTTGAAGCTCATGGTTACTGGACAGGCTGACAGATTATTTGTGTGATTTTCCTCAGTCTCTCCAAGTAAATTCCAAGATAACTGTATTGAAATAGGCCAAAATGCTCACCTTTGAAATAATTATTTACCAACAATTCAAGGTTGTCTATGTACCTCATTTCAATGATATTTAAGCTCAGCAGTAGAAAAGGCAGTGTTAAATAATATAAGAATCAACTGTTAAAAACCAATGCAAAGAACAGCATAATCCCTGGAAATGGTTATGTTTTATTTACATTCAAGCACTTATATGAATACTATACTAACATTGTGTTTGACATCGTCCATTGACTGACATACATGTTTTATACACACCACTCTTTGCGGGATGGCTTCAATCTCATCCTCAAGCAACTGGTTGTCATTATACCAACAAAATTGTTAGAAAGTTTTTGATTTTGATACTAAAATCAATGACGACAATGTGGTAGTCTGCTTGTTCCCATATTAGCTTATTATTCAAAATCTTCTGGGTTCGTTCCCAACCTATGCCACTAATATGACAATAAAGAGTAATAACAGGCCTGTCAAAATAATAGCAACAGTAGTCTGAAGACAAGAGTATAACCAACTCCATAAATGTCACCTAAGAAAACTGACAATGTCCATTGTTATATTCATATTATACACCAACCAATGTCACAGAGGCAGTTGTTTATCTGATTAACTAGTTATGTTACTGATGATATTGAACATATATTTCAAATGTCTTATTTCACCTGACATGATGACTCTGTGCCCCTTATTGCCACATATGCTCTCCTTCGGCACTACTCTACCCGTTCTATCCCTCTCTAGGACAACTGTGTCAGGCTCCACCTGTGCCGATACCACACTCTAAAATGAAAATGTGTATAAGTGAACTGAATTCATGCATTTAATTTCTTTCTTGATAAATTATCGTTAAACAACACAAAGTATTAAAATTAAAATAACAGAAATTAAGATAAATATAATTGTGAGATGGTGGGGGACAACAGTCACTGCTTTTGGCTAAAAATTCTTGCACAAACAAAACTGACAGTGCAGTATATGGAGAACCGAATCTCCAGCATGCCACTCCCTGCAACCTCTTCACTAAATATTCTTCTGAAAATGTTGTAGAACATCTACATAAATACTGTATGCTGATTTAAATTTCATCTCTGTTGGATTAACAGTTGACATATGATTTCATCAACATGAAAAACAAAATAAACAAGATCTTCATATTGAAAAGAACTTCTATGGCCTTTTTTGAGCAAGTTTATGCTAGAATTTTCTGTCACAAAACTGTCATTTTGTTTCAGGTTTGTAACCATAAACCAACATGCCTCTTACATCAGTGTAATGTCTTGAGATATACTGATATGACTCTGCCCATTATCATCAGTCAGCAGATGAGCATGATTGAATGTTGTATTTGAGTGGTTAGCTCTTCTGCGTCATGTTTTGGGGGTCCAGGGGTCAAATCTCGGCCCCTAGAGACTGACTGTCAATGCTGAGGTTTCTCATCAATTTTGTTAGACCTTCAGGCAAATACTGAGACAGGACTTAAAATCAGTCCAAAACCACAACATATCACATCCTTTCAAATAAATTATTTACCAATTATCCTATTATTCAATACTTTATAGCATGATCTACTGAGCACAATATTAAACACACCATAAATAAATAAAATATGAGGTAGAGTTGTTGGTAATCAACTGGATGCTCATATTTTGCATCAAAATATAAGGGGCAGTCAAATGAATATGGGTCACCACGCATAATTCACATGGCTCACAAGTTGGTAACACTGGAATTTGCTTACGGTACGACCATCTGGTGGGGACTCAGGAAAGCACGGTGACAATGTGCCCTTGCACACTAGTTGTTTGTTTATTGTGCTGGAAGTAAGGTTAGCACTACATGTGGTCGTCCAACATCAGTAATGAAGGCGGGTAAAGAAGAAGAGCGAAGTGCAGTGCGCTTTTTGACTGCTGAAGGAGTAGGAGGACAAGAAATGCATCATCGCATGTCTGTTGTTTATGACGAACACAGCATGTCACGTTCACGTGTGCTGGCGTGGCATAAGAGATTCCGAGAGGGACGTGTGTAACTGCAAGATGATGCTCGCCCAGGACGGGCTCATTGTGTCATCACACCTGATGTTATTGCTGCGTGGGATGGTCATATCCGGGCAAACCAACGGATAACTGTGGAAGAAATTAGTCTTTTGATGGGAATAAGTCATGGTTCCATACACACCATTGTGACAAAACACCTGCTGTACCTCAAAATCTGCGCGCAGTGGGTTCCACATCAACTCACGGAGGAACTGAAGACTCAGAGAATGGCTGCATCACTGGGTCACTTGCAATGATACCATGAGGAAGAGTATGCTTTTCTGT